AAGAGAAGAAAAAAATGGAGGGGGAGGGTGGGGGGTCTCGAAGAAGATGAAGAAAAAGGTGGAAAACCAAGAGAAAAAAAGAAAAGGGGTCAAAATCATAAAATTTAAATTTATAAAATTATAATTTGACCTCAAATGACCTGAAGATGACTTAGAAACTACCTATTGGACCACCGGTGAAAAAATGTTGAAAGTTCGTGTACTTTTGTGATAGGAATTAAAGTTTATATACCGAAGTGAAATAATAATAAAAGTTCGTATACCATGGGTGAAATTTACCCTTAATTTTGTACTATTACACTATTACATTACCCTCTTTTTTGAAGTTAAAATATCTTCAATCCACCCTCTCAAAAAAAAGTTCTTAACTTTTTTTATGATGTTTAATTGAAGATATTTTTATTATATATATTAAAAAGTTATATTAAAAATGTCACCAAATTATAGGTGACATTTTAAAAAATATTTAATAAAAAAGGATATGCTTCAAGTGATGAAAAAAGTGTAGTGAGACTTTCTTTTTTTATAATTTGGGAGAGGGGGGGCCGTTGTGCATATAACAAAAACGAATGAAACAGTTTTCATTTCGTAGGCTTGTGATTCAAATAAAAGTAAAACACGCCTTTCATGCCTCTATGCTTTTAATTGCTTTCCACTTCATTTATATATATATACACACACACACACCAAACATCACCAGCAACAAATATATTAAATCGCCTCGCTCTGCAGTAAAAAAAAAAAAATCCTTTAATTTCTAAGTGAATTCAGTGGCAGATCACCAACATGGAAAAGAAACAAATATTCTTCAGCAAAGAGGAAGAAGATCATCAAGTCCACATAACAATGGCTCATCCAGAAGAAATTTCCATTCCAATTCCTCAGGTCTTTCTTTAATCTATTCTAAGTTTTTATTATATCAGTCCTGTAGCTGTTATAAATAGCTGGTTTATGTTTAATGAGGTATCTAAGTTTTGATACCACATTAAACACTTGAAACCATAATTCATGAGGTATATATATCTGAGTTTTGATCAGGCGGAAAGTGCATCCGAACCCACAAATCTACGAAGAGAAGAGAGCGTTGAAGCGGTTGATGTCAAGGCGCGTCCGGCTACGCCTGCGAAGAAAGTGAATTTCCATTTGAATCCTTCTCAGCACAGGTCAGCTCATGGAGTGTCTCCAGGCCGGCCTGTGCCGAGAGGGACGAAATCGTCATCTTCGTCGTCGTCTTCATCATCCATCAAGAATTTCCTTATTCCCAAACTGAACTTCATGGAGAAGCCGAGCCCAGAAGCCGAACCCGGTCATCCAGAAGAAAATAATAATAATAAAGTTTCCATTTCAAGGTCTTGGTCCCTGTCGAAGATGTTTTCGCCGGGGATCAAGAGGGCGTCGTCTCTGCCCATAACTCCGGTGGGGAAGCCGAATCCGCTGGCGGCAGAGTCCGCCGCCGCCGCCGCTTGCAAGACGAAGGGGTCCTCGAAGGGAGCGGTGCAGCAACAGCAGCCACAGCCGCCACAAGTGCATATACACCGGTCTCTTTCTCTCCCGGTTCCGGCTGCCGCCAACAAAGACGGCAGCCGGAAAATGGAATCTTTCTTTCGGGTCATCCCTTCCACGCCGCCGCCCCGACTCAAGGACTCTGATTCTATTGTTTCCGCTGAGGCTCCCGCCGGAGAATCTGGTACTTATTCTAATTCCATCCATTCATTATGTATGTTGAATTGCCACACAAAATATTTACCGGTTAATAGTATCAAGGAATTTTTGAAATTTAATTATGTCGATACTCCCTATCTTAAATGCGGTAACATCCTTTTACCATGGATTAAATATAGTTTAAAATAATTAAATATTATAAAAAAACATTTTAAAATTATATTTTGAAATAAATCTAATTTACTAATTTTACATTATAACTAAATATATTTTTTCCATAATTCCCAATCAAAGGGGGCCACAATTTTACCAAAAAAGTCAAACTGTGCAATTTTTTAGAGACCGAGAGAATACTTTTTAAAAAATACTCCGTAATTTAGAAAGTATCCAAAATAAAAATAAAACATAAGTCTTATTCTCAAAATAAGACTAATTAATTGTGATTTGATTGAAAGGTCCATGCTCCTTTTATAGAACTATATATATTAATATTTTGAATTAATATATTGACATTGTTTGCATTATAGATCATATTTTGAAGATAAAAATATGAAAATCATATTTCAATGTATTTTGTACTACTTTCATCCCAGTGTATTGTCTAATTTAATTTTTTTGAGTCAAACTGGACAAACTTTGAGCTTCAATTGCTCTCAATATATATTGAATATTAGTATAATGAAATTAAATTTTGATAGTTTCCAATAAGATAAATGTAATAAAATCAATTTTTATAATAATATACTCCATCCGTCCCAAAAAGATTTACATCTTTCAAAAAAATTGCGTCCCACAATCTCCTACCCATTTCTATTAAAAAACCACTTTTACCTCTTACTTTTTCAAACCCTACCTATCACATCATATCTTTTTCCTAATAATCTACACATCACATGTTACTTTTACCCATCACATCAAGGGTATTTTTGAAAAGTCAACACAAAATTATCCCTCTCTTAATTTCAACTTTAGTCAAAACGTGTAAATCTTTTTGGGACGGAGGTAATATATTATAATTTTTATTTAATAGAAACTTAAAATCCATCTTGTTTGATTGAAAAAATCAAACTAGACAAACAGAGACAGAGATTATGTTTCACTCCTACTTTTTTTTTCTCTCAAGATTTAGGTGGTGTTAATAGTCTGATTTGTTTACTTTTCTGATGACGTGACAAAAGAAAATTGAAAATGTTCTAAAGCAAATCATAAAACAGCAATAAAAGTGAAAGAAAATTTATCTAAAAATATAGGAGTAGAAATTTTTTCCCAATTTTTAAAAAATATACTCGTCCAAAAATTTCTTTTGATTGCGCGTTACAAAGTTTGATTGAATTTAATTTCAGGTTATTTTATATGAAATAGCAATAACATTTTTAATACTACACCAAAAAATTTACAAAATTATATTTGATATTGCTATATTATTTAATCAAATGGATAGGGAAAATATGCTAATAAAATAAATAAAGTTTGATACTGTGAATATTGAAGGAGAACATAAATTTTGAGTAAAGGGAAAAGTTTATTCAAAACAATTCTTAAAAATTGAGAAGCAAATGAAGTGAACAAATAGGAGGAGTATTTATCACTAAAATAAGTCTAATGAATTTTGCACTTTTTTTAACAGAAAAATGGTTTAAAATTTTTGAGAGAAATTTTAAACTCGAGAAAATTTTAAACATCGTTACATTTAATAGCTGTTTGTTTTTGTTCCAATAAACTAAATTTTTAAAATTTTATAACAACAACAAGAAGAAGAACCCAGTCGAATCTCATGATTGTGGGATTTGAGAAGGGTATGTGTGCACAAACTTTGCCTCTACACAAAAGTAGAAAACCAACTGTTTCCAAGAGATCCCCGACTCATTTAGCACCAAGCTCAAAGAGAAAACGAAAGTTAACGAAGGAAAGCACTACAATTTGAGATGAGAGAACACCAAACATGCACCAAAGAATGTATCAACTATATATCACCTAGCCTGAAATTCCTACCCAACTACCATCATCCTAACTTTCCAAACACTTCAATCTAAGACCATATCAGTACTAAAAGCAGCAGTCTTAAATATTGCCTAATTATTTGAAAAACGTATTTAAAGAAATACGAAGTAAAAGATCTTGTGAAGTATTTCCTCTGTCCTATAAACTCTTTATTGCTTTGATTTCTTTAGTCCGTTTCTAAAAAAACAAGGGGACGGTTCCCATGACATTGCCCGGCAATGTCATGGGATGACCCGAGGGCGCTTCGGTGTCCCGTTCGTAAAATTGACGGATCCTACCCCCCATCCTGTCGCGACCCGAACACACCTCTCACCCTTTCAATTGCACCTCACAAGTTGATTTTGGCTTTGGAGTCAAATTTTGACCTCAAAGTCAAAATCAACTTGTAGGGTGCAATTGAAGGGGGTGGGGGTGTGTTCGGGTCGGAGTGGAGGTTTACCGGGGGATACGGGGTAGGAACGGTCAATTTTATGGACGGGACACCGGAACACCTTCAGGTGGTCATCCAATGACATGTGGTTCCAATATCATAGGAACCCCACGGGAAAAAAACAAAATATCGGTGTAAAGAATTTCATCTTTTTCTATCAAAAAAAACAGTTCTGGAGCTGTAATATTAGATTCTTCCAATGGTACGCAGGAGGAGAAGGGGAAGAGGAGGAGGAGGAGGACGGGGGAGAGGACATAGCGGAGGAGGAAGCGGTGTGCAGAATATGCCTGGGGGAGCTGTGCGAGGGCGGGGAGACGACGCTGAAGATGGAGTGCAGCTGCAAGGGGGAGCTCGCCCTCGCCCACAGACACTGCGCCGTCACTTGGTTCTCCATCAAAGGCAACAAAACCTGCGACGTCTGCCGCCACCCCGTCCAAAACCTCCCCGTCACCCTCCTCCGCATCCGCAGCACCGCCGCCGCCGCCCACCCCGCCCTCTCCCTCGCCACCACGCTCTCCCACCTCGAAATCAATGGACACAGGTCATTAATTATTTTCATTCCAATTCCATATACATACCAAACCCCGATTCGATCTTTTTTTGTATTTGAATTTGATAATGAATGGTTGGTGGTGCAGGGTGGTGTCGCATGAAGTGCCAATTCTGGTTATTGTTAGCATGCTTGCTTACTTTTGTTTTCTTGAACAACTCCTGGTATGTGTACAACAATATACTCCATTTTTGTAACTTTTGGACACCTTTAAGACTTAAATACCCCCACTTTTTAATATCTTCAATTTGCCCCCTATGTGTCTTTTGTGTGTGTGGGTGTGTGCAGGTTGGAAAGATGGGTACAAGTGCAATTGCTATATCACTGCCATTCTCTTGTGTGCTTGGCCTCCTTGGCTCTATGACTTCTTCTACTATGGGTATGTTTCTTTGTTTCTTTCACATACTTCTAGCTAGTTTCCTCCAATACAATATTAAAAGCACACGTTTTAAATTAGATGTCTTACAACTAAAGGCACACTTTTAGATGTGTCATATAACCAAATCAATTTTTCTATCGTACCATTTCAATCACTTTTACACATTATTTTTTGTTTCGACTCACTCGATCAGCACCCTTAATTACATTTTTCAGTCATTTTTTACTCTCTCTCTCTCTCGTAAATGCAGTAATGAAAAGATTCGTATGGGTGTACGCATCAGTCCAGTTTGCATTTGTGGTGCTCTTTGCACACATTTTCTACACTCTGGTAAACACTCTATACACTTTTGTACCATTTATTCATCTCTTTTAGACCCCCTCCCCCCCCTCACAGACACATAACAAAATTGGTCAGTTGTGTCAGACACGGATGATGTGACCCGCTGGAATCTAAGAGATTATAGCATAATCAACCTATTTAGCGGTTCAAGCCACCCGTGTGTGACAAAATAGGTTAGACACGTCTCACTGAGAGCACTAGTTTTTTTTTTAATAAGAAAATGTTGATTAATTATTTAACTTAGAAAACAGAATGAAATGCAAGAATATCGATGACAATTTTGGGTTTTTCTTCTTCAAAATGAACGCGCGTGCAGGTTCATGTGCAAGCAGTTCTGTCGATCCTACTATCAATATTTGCTGGATTTGGGGTTGCAATGAGTGGAAGTTCTATTCTTGTCGAGTACTTCAGGTGGCGAAGAAGGCATCGTAACCCGCCTCCAAGCCCATGGCCATAATAACGCATGCATTGGCAGCCAGGAGGGAGATGAAAATAGTATATACCACTACCTCCGAGCCAATGGCCAAAAGTGGACAAATACTCACAGACAAGAGCATGTATAGTAAATACTACGTATCAGTTTTGGTCGGTCTCACGACTTTTGTGTTATTTTTCTTAAAAATTTACTCGTACGAGTTTAATGCATGACATTTTTGTCCGTGTTGATTTTGGTAAGTCGACTGGAAGGTTACAATTTTCATTGACTACATATTTTTTAGAATCATTTTTGATAAAATGGAAATTTACTTAAATAAGACTAAAACATAATGACTTTCTCAATACATAACTATATGTTTTTATTTCTCAATGTAGAACCATTGATCATTATCATTTGGTCATTATTCAAATAAATGTCTACCATTACTGACATTATTTCTCTCACTATACATTATTAAGTCCTATTTAGGGAATAAAAAAGTTTAATTCCTATATTGAGAAATGACTTACTCCCTCCGTCCCCGAAAAAATTTCTCCTTTCTTTTTTCACCCGTCCCAAAAAACACTTCTCATTTCTATTAAAAAGTCACTTTTACCTCTTATTTTTTCATACCCTACATAAAACATCATACCTTTTTACTAATAATCTATCCATCAAATCATACTTTTACCCATCACATCAAAGAACATTTTTGAAAATTCAATACTAAAATACATTCTCTTTAAATCCCTCTTCAAAATTAAAACTCCATGTTTTCCAGGACGGAAGGAGTATATTTTAGTCCTATTTAGTGCAAATATTTTTGATAAAAAGAAATTTTACAATGGTGTTCAAACTTTAATTTTGACTCAAAGTTGCTGTCATCAAAGCTGGAAGAGACACGGAATTCGTGGGATCAAAAATCAAAAATGGTTTCTACATACTCTTACAAATTAAATGCCAAAACATTTTGTTCATTTGTTCCACCTTGTAAATATTTGTGCATTAGTAGCTTGCAAATGTGGTGTGAATTCAGGTCTGCCCTGAAAAATGAAAAAATAAAATTGGTCCAATCCAAAATTTACATTTTGTGCCCTATTTTATATTTTTAGAATACTTTTGCTTTAAAATTATTAACAAATTTAAAAATATAATGGCCTAAATTTTAAGAGGCCATGTGCGGTTGACCACTTTGCACACACTCCGGGCCACCCATGTGTGAATTGTTGTGAAAGAGTTAGTGAGAATGTGATATGTATCCTTATTTGCTCACAATCTTGGTGGAATATTCGTCCAATTTGATTAAAAAATTATATTGTACTTCATATATTAATATAAAAATTATTCCATAAGATTTATCTTTTAGAAAAATTTTAGAAATTTATATTATTATATTAATATATACCATAATTAAATGTAATGTTATTGATAATCATAGTTAATCTAGTTTGACTTGAAAAAATAAAACTAAACAAATAGTCAAAACTATGAAATGAAAGAGTACGTAGTTTGTATATATGTACTCTGTATTTTTTCCGTCTTCTTCAGATTATAGAGATTATGATCAAATGATAAAACTAATCACGGTAACTCTGACCGATGACAGATCAAGAAATGAGGTGAAAAGAATATTTTCGTAAAAATGAGCTATTAGGCACCTAAAAGTTGATCTAATACTACCTCCATTTATAAATGAATTACACTTTACATAAAACAAAATAAAATCTTGAGTTTTTTATGTTAATTTTAGTTTAAAATTGATGCATAAATAAAAATAAAATTTGCAAACTTAAACTATAAATCAAAAGATTTACAAAATAAGAGGTGACAATACTATTTTATTTTATTTAATAATAAATAAAAAACACAAATAAACAAAAGTTTCTGTGATTTTTGAATAGAGAAGAGTGTAAATTATTGTGGCACAGAGAGAGTGTCAAAATACATAAAAAAAAATCTACTCCATTCATCCCAAATTACATTACACAATCCAAAAAACGTACAAAACCTCATACTTTTTAAATTTAATTTATTTACAATTTAGTATAAAATAATAAAATTCAATTTATATATTCTAAAATAATATAAAAAGTTGTACAAAATAAATGGTGACAAGAACGTTTTATTTTATTAATTACACAATAAAAACATGGAAATAAACAAATATTATCAAGATCGGAAGCCACTTTTAAAATTATATTTTCATAATAAAAAAAGAAAAAATGAGACACTTCATGTTGATAACTATGGTCATTAACCTAAATTAAGAAAAGGAAAAATTTGCCAAAAAAAGCACAACATTTAGAAAAATTATCATTTCTGGCACAACCTTAATTTTTTATCAGTAAAATGCACCAAATTTACTTTTTTTGTCAACTGAGGACACACCGTTAATATAATGCGTTAGAGATAACAGATTGTCCATGTAAAACACTCAATCAACCATTACTTTTTTTTTGAAGTCAATCAACCATTAATTTATACGTTGCCAACAAACCTTAAAAAATTACCCTTTCTGCCTTAAAAAGATTGTCATAGTTTCACTTTTTTCTTAATCTTTTGGACATTAGTCCAAAACAATTTATTTTTTTGTCTTCCTAAAAGAATATTACCCAAAAAAAATTCAACTGTTTGACAATCACTACATTTTTTAGGACGGAACTTAAATTCAAAAAATTTAATGAAGACAATGGTTTTAAATGAATGAGCACATGGCAATTTTTTTATAAACAAAATTTAATTAAACTTTTGAAATAAATGTGCAATAATCTTAAAAGTTGTCTTTTTGTGGCGATAGGTATAAAGAAAGTAAAAGTTGCACTAAATAAGACTAAAACATAAGTCATTCACTTAAATTTTTTTATTCCCTAAATAGATTATCAGAGCCGGCTCAATAGAGAGAAAAAGTGTTCGTCCGAACCGGGCCCAACTGCCCAAGTATTTAAGGGGCACAAATTTTTTTTAGTATTAAACATACTCCGTATTTGTGTATATAAGAAGCCCACAACAATTTAAAGCCCAATCCACATCTCCTATCCTTAGTTCCTTAGTGGCGTAGAGTCGTAGACAAAAGAAAAAAAAAGAAGGAACCGATCGAACTTAGAAGGAGAGTAGGAGACAGACGGAAGAAGCATTCGGATTTGCCGATTTGGAAGAAGCCGAAGAAGAACCGATTTGACGATTCACGAAAGACGACGCCGCCGTACGCCGACCTCCAGCCTCCAGGTATTTTTCCGCCTGTCTCCTTCGATAGGTTCTTTCTTTTTCCAATTTTGTACTCCGTAATTTTTATTTCTTAATTTTCTTTCATTATTTCATTTTTAAAATTTAAAATCTAGGGTTAATTATTAATTTTTAATTTGAAATCTTTTCTAATTTTATTCTTTGAAATAGAATGAATCAATGGTTCTATATGTTATCTATTTGATTTGGATGAATTGATTGAATTTGTTATTTATGACATATTTATATAAAAAAAACTGAAAATCAAAAAAAAAAAATAAAAACTAAAAAATTGACGAATTGAACGTTATGATTTATTAAAAAAATTAAAACTGAAAAAGAAATAAATAAAACGAAAAATTGACGAATTGATATGAATTTATGATATATTTATTTATTTGCTTGCTTTTTCATATTTGATATTACTAAGTAGTAGAATTTATGGATTTGGATTTTATTTCAGAAACAAAAATTGACGAATTGATATGAATTTATGATATATTTATTTATTTGCTTGCTTTTTCATATTTGATTTTACTAAGTAATAGAATTTATGAATTTGGATTTTATTTTAGAACTTCTTGAATCCTCGTCTAGCTTTTACGGTATGTAATTATAATACTATAATTTTGTCATATTTTTCCTAATAATATTGCGTTAATTATCATTTAAATATAAATAGTTTACATATGTTAATTTGTTAGATCATTAGGGATACGATTTTTAGGGCCTTTTTTCTGTTTCGGCCCAGGCATATGAATTCTCAGGACCGGCCCTGTACTTAATAATGTTTTGTGGGAGAAATAATGCCCAGTGATGGTGGACATTTACTTGAATAATAACTAATGGATAATGACCAAAGGTCTTACTTTGGGAAATAAAAACATATCGTCTTATATTGAGAAAGTCATTATGTTTTAGTCCTATTTAGGCAAATTTCCCATACAGAAAATGATGATTAGAAATCACCCTAAATATGACTAAAACATAAAGAAAAGTACCAAAATAGGACATTCATGTTTTTATTCTCGAAATAAGGTTTCACACCGTTGTAATGTGACAGTGTACATGTGCATATTACTATATTTTTGGTAATGTACATGACCATGTCTGATAATGTAAATGCATTTTTACTCATATTTCGGGAATAAAAATATGAAAGTCCTATTTTGGTATATTTTTAATGTTTTACTCCTATTTTTATCTTGAAATTTTAAAAATACTTCTTTAACGTATATGAAGATCCACTATAAACTTTTGATTGCATGTAATAATTTGTCCTCAAACTTTCAACCAAACACAACCAAATACAACAAAATCTGAACCCTTATGTTCTCGCCATACGTTCAAAACGAAATAAGGAAAGGTTTTCTTAAGTTTGAAAACCCCTTTTTACTTTTCCTTTTAAAACCTCCGTCTCTGGCCATTCCCCGCGGGCCGCCGGCGATCTCGACGGTGAAGAAACAGAGAATGGCTAGCTACTCACATTCACACTAATGGTCTTCGCCTTGAGGTAATCTCCATTCCCTTTGTTTAGTTGTTTTCGCCATTCTTTTTTCCCCTCCCTATTCTCAATGCTTTTGCTCGTTATACTCCACGGAAGGCTCTTTCTTCCTCACCTCTTCTGTCTGTGAGGGGGAATCTAATAAAATAATATAGCAAACAGATTTTATAGATTTGGACTAAATTTCAAGAACCTGCTAGAAGTTAAACTGTGCAACTTTGAATTCAGTGTGTCAATTTTTGTTTTGAATTCTATTAATTCAGTTACAGTACAATTTTTCTATATACTCGTATAAATTCTAAAATTTCTTTTTTATGCAACTTGTTTGTAAAGTTCATTTCTTGAATGTTATTCTTCCTTTGTATTAAAAGTAGGCATAGTTTTCGGGGTAGGGTTGCAGTTCTCATCTATCCTATTTGAATGCCTTTGATTTAGTGTAGCTTTTGAAGGCAAGTATTGCTGGTTCTCCAGGTCCTCTTTGAAATAGCCTCTCTATCTCTTGAATAGCAGTAAGATTTGCTTACTTACATCTAGGAATCAAGCCATATATACCCTGCTTTTGAGTGGGATATACGGGGTTAGTTTTGAATATATGCATTTTTTGTACCTTCAAAGTAAATATGGACAAACTTGTTTCGGAATGCTCATTCCAGGATCTTAGCAGGCGGGAGAGAGCAGAGGTTGCTGATGACCATTGCCCCTAAAAGCATAAGAGTTGCCCACCGGCTTCCTCTTTTTGCCCCTCTTCTCCTTCTTTCCCTAAGTTCTCTTCCCAACTCTCTTATCATACTTGCACCGTTACCGTGTCTTATTTGGTTTTCTCTTTGTTATTGTGTCAAATTTAGTGTCTGTTTGGCGGGCAGTTTTTCGGCTTATCGGCTTGGTTTTTCACCAAACTAATTTATTTGTGTTGGGTGTTAGCTGACACAGCTATTGATTTTTTTTAAAATTTAGCGTAGAAGTTACATTTTTGACTGAACTGTATGAAATTAAAATTAAAAAAAGAAACCTATTTTAAATAAATATTTTGGATATTTCATCAATTTCAGCAGCCAGTTTAGGCATATTGTCTTGGGATGAAAATGTAAATGTTTGTATTCAAGAATCTTGTATCTATATATGGGTGTCTAGGAGTGTTTGGGAGGTCTGGAATTTTGAGGTTAGGGCAGCACAAAAGGGGATTCGTTGGGGTTTGTTTGGATAAGAGGATGGATTTGGGGGTGGAGGCTGATAAGATGGGAATGGTGAGACCAGCAGTGGAAGGTTATCTTGAAGCCGCGGTTGAAGCTATAAAGTCCGGGCATGTTATTGCTGTTCCCACGGACACTCTCTATGGCTTTGCTTGTGACGCTTGGTAAAGCCCACCCGTTCTTTCCTTCATTCAAAATTTGGCTCTTTCATTTATGTATACTTCTTTTACATCTTATCGCCTTTAATTCAACTTTTAGATTTGTCATTTTGTTAATGTTCATTGGTAAATGCAAGAAGTAAATTTTGACAATATGCTTTGTATATATATATGCTTTGTATTTATTTATTGTATTTATTAAATCCCTTAACTTTTCTACACAAGCACATTTCTTTACAGTTGCATGATTCATTTATAATTTATTCCATTCCTGCATTGTGTTTGTTTGCACTTTGCAGTTCTGCTAAGGCAGTTAATCGTATCTATGAGATTAAAGGGCGTAAGTATACAAATCCACTTGCGATTTGTGTTGGGGATGTTGAAGACATACACAAATATGCTGTCACTGATCATTTACCCCGCGGCTTGCTTCACTCTCTCCTTCCTGGTCCTGTTACTCTGGTGCTAAGCCGAGGTTTGTGCACCCAAGAAAGTAATTTTCTTGGATTACATTTTCTGCAACAAGTTAATTTTTCCAGGTATTGAATAACAAAGAGAACCAATTTTTTTTTAAAAAAATCTTTTTTTTCCAGGTGAGTCGAGTATTCTCGATAAATCTTTAAACCCTGGACTTGAGAGCATAGGGGTAAGAGTACCCGATAATACCTTTATTAGGGCACTATCCGGCTGTTCTGGAAGTGCACTTGCCCTAACAAGTGCAAACCTTAGCGGGCAGCCCAGTAGCATTGTGATCAGAGATTTTGAGAGCCTCTGGGGTCACTGCGCTTACATCTTTGATGGTGGCGTGCTTCCATCCGGACGGGCAGGTTCAACAGTGGTCGATCTCACTAAGCAAGGAAAGTACAAGATCTTAAGACCTGGAAGGTAAAAAAAATGCAAGCGTATTTTTGTCTTCATGAAAATATTTTTTCTGGGTTTAGCACCAGGAAAAGAAAACCCCAAAGGTTTTCAGTGACTCTATGAACATTTGTGTGGGAAAATAACTTTCTCTTGCTTAAAAAAGACCATTTTCATGAAGGGGTTTTGGTCTGTTGTTCATAAAGCATACATTAATAACATTCTTTCCAGGAAAAAAGTTATCTTTGGGAAATATTTTCCTGAAATCAGAGTCTAAACTGATAATATACTTAAAATCCACGCTAGTCTTCATATGGACCTAGTTACCAACTGGTCTGTATCCAAGTAAACAAACATTTTAATGCTAAAGAGTGTAAAAAAACTGATGGGTTTCTACTGGTGTTTTGTCAGCTCCTTGGAAGAGACAGTCGGAATCCTCCAACAGTACTCATTAGTAGCCGCAGATGAGAGCTGAGAGATGGACTATATGGGCCTGTATGGTAATAGCTTTAGAGATTAGCGTTAGCGTTTTGAAAAGGCTATCTACGGGCAGTGTTTAGCGTTAGCGCTTTCAAAGTAATCTGCACCGTTAAAATTTTATCCAAAAAGCTAACGCTAATTTCTAACGCTATTCCCAAACAGGTCCTATATGTGAAGCTCTAGAGTTTTATTTTTGATAATATAGTTGTGATAGTACCTTGTCATAATCAGTGCTTTCATTTGTGTGTTTTCATTTGTAAAATTTGTTAGTTTTAGAGGTTGATTGATAGTGTATTTGGTAAGTAATTCTCAATTTGGGCATGAAAATTAGAAAGTGTGCAATTCTTGTGTACATGGGTATTTTATATTTATTGCGAGTTAGTGAACACTTTTTTTCTTGTTAGTATGCACCACTTCCGTCTAGTTTAGCATTCGTTGTCTACTGTAAAAAAAATTAAAAATGAGTTTAAATTGCAAAATAGGTTCTTCAAATAAGTTTGCCGTTTGTTGATCTCAATTATGTTCATATTCGATCTAGCTATTTTATTATAATTTCTTTAGATATTTTTATGAATATTAGTTTAATTTTTCAGAACTCCTATTCTATGCATATGTGGTCCATTTTGGTTCTATTCAAATAGGATATGGGACTTACCATTTGACATGTTGTAAGGGTTCTATAGCTCACATTCCAAGTCAAATTTCTAGAAACATCCTATATGAATATATTTAAAGTGACAATATTTTGATAACATAGGTAAGTCAAACTTGGTTATTGGAAACTACTCTATATAAAACTAAAAGAACAAAAAATTATCGATTAGAGTCCAATAACTGAAATCAAAAGTTTGCTTAATTGATTAATTAGAATACAAAAGTTAAATACAATAAGTTTCAATTGTTTTTAGGTTTTGTGTTTTTTTTTAAAAAAAAAATTATTCGAATTATTCAGAACTTAAGACATATTTTTAGACTCTGAAACTTTAATTTTCAAGTTTTAATTATCCGACTTCAGATTTCAGTAGCTAAATTTTAGTTAGAGTTAATTCATACTCTAAACTCCAATCGTCATATTTTAGTTGCCAAACTTCACGGTCTTCCTTACTTATCATTAATATTTTTTTATTTATATATGGGATAAATAAAAAATCGCATTTCAAGATTGAATATAAAAATTTGATATTTAGAAATAAAATTGTTAATATTAAATTTATATCACACAATTCATTTTTTTTCTTAAATTTATAATCAAATTTGAAAATATTGAGCAAAAATTTGAGGAAAACATTGTGGACTTCTCTTTCCCATTAGTTATTTGTTTACCACCATATATAAACAAACAGGCTGTTAGACCTGTGTTGAAAGTTTGAAAACCCCTTTCTTCCTTCTCAAAACCTCCCTCTATAGCCAGTCCGTTGCCACGCGCCGCCGCCTGAGAGAGGATGAAGATAGAGGAGGTTCAATCGACGACGAAGAAACAGAGAATAGCTACTCACACTCACATTAAAGGTCTCGGCCTTGAGGTAATATTCATTCCCTTGTTTTCACTACTCGTTTTTTCCTCTCCTTTCAGTTGAAGTTAAAAAATTTATAAATTCAAATGTGCCTTTGTAAGGAAACTTGTTTGTAAAGTTCAGTTCTTCAATGGTAAATGTACTTTGTATTAAAATTGGGAAGAGTTTTCAGGCTAGGGTTTCAGTTCTCATCTATCCTACATGAGAATGGCTTTGATTCAATATAGCTTTTTAAGGGTTTGTTTAGATGACGATACGATATGGTGTTTTGTATAGCCCAATGGGAATGCAATCCCTTTAGCAGCTGGGTTTGTGGGTCAGGCTTCAGCAAGAGAAGCTGCTGGCCTTGTGGTTGATATGATCCGCCAAAAGAAGATGGCCGGTCGGGCTCTGCTGCTTGCTGGGCCTCCTGGTACTGGCAAAACAGCACTTGCTTTGGGTGTTTCACAAGAACTGGGCAGCAAGGTACCTTTTTGTAGTGTTCCTCATCATTCTCTGGTTTCCCCCCTTAGAAATCCTTTGATTTTGTTATGTATTACTTGAATCTTTGTTCATGGAGTGATATAATTTCTCTTTGTTTTCTGTTGGGATTTTTATGTATTGTGGATCATATTGTACCTTTTCTCTTTTGATGCTGGGGGTCCATTTTGGAATTACGAAAGTGATAGAGAAAATAAATAGGCAAGAAAATGTAAGGTGAATTACGATGGAAAGAAGTTGTCATGAAATATAAAAACCTTTAGCTTTCAAACCCAATAAATTCATTTTTATACCTGATTACCTGTTCAAACTTATTTTGTTTCTCTATTACTATTCTGTATTATACTTAACTCAGAAATCTAAATGCTTTTAAAAAATTTGTACTCCGTAACATTAGTTATATTTCACTTTCTATGGTAAAACCAAACCCATGAAAATAATGTTTGTGTTTTTCGTTTTCTCTAGCATTTCCGGTATCTAAAACATACCTTTAATGTTTTAGGTTTACTTTGTACTCCGCAGGTACCATTTTGCCCAATGGTTGGATCTGAAGTGTATTCATCAGAAGTTAAGAAAACTGAGGTTTTGATGGAAAATTTTAGACGAGCTATTGGTCTACGTATAAAAGAAAATAAGGAAGTTTATGAAGGAGAGGCAAGCTTAGCTTTTTACAACCTTTGTTCATCGAAGACCAAAATTATCTTGTAATTCCACAAAGCTTGTAACCAATTCCATCCAATTCGCAACATCTCATGACTTTTTTCTCTTTTAAACAGGTGACTGAACTGTCCCCCGAGGAAACTGAAAGCGTCACTGGTGGATATGGCAAAAGCATTAGTCATGTCATTATCGGGTTGAAAACAGTCAAAGGGACCAAACAATTGAAGCTTGACCCTACTATATATGATGCCCTAATCAAAGAAAAGGTCAGGGTTTCCAACATTTTTATGTTTTTTGTAGGACTCTTTTCTTTCTCAAAATTTCTTCAACAAAAGTCATCGAATTCTGATAGACAAATACTTAATTTTTTGAATCACATGTATGTATATTTATTCTGATCTACTTATTGCATAGTGTCAATAGTTGGCACTTGTAATGCCTAGAGAACCTTTTGGTCATTCCATACAATGTTATACTGTACTAGCTAGCTTCATGTATAATTGTATAAAATTGCAGGTAGCTGTTGGTGATGTCATATACATCGAAGCAAACAGTGGAGCAGTTAAAAGAGTGGGGAGAAGTGATTCTTTTGCTACAGAGTTTGATCTTGAGGCTGAAGAATATGTTCCTCTTCCTAAAGGAGAAGTTCACAAGAAGAAGGAGATAGTACAGGTTAGTATGCTATTGTAAGATAAGTAGATAACATTTCTTTCAACTGCAGTTGTACCTCTGTGAAGTGCAGTGCATTGTTGCACCTTTATTTGTATATAGATAAACGTATACAGGTTCTTATCAAAGTTTAACGGTAGCTTTTGTGCCTTGTCAGGATGTTACACTGCATGATCTTGATGCTGCAAATGCACGACCTCAGGGAGGTCAAGATATATTGTCTTTAATGGGTCAGATGATGAAGCCCAGGAAAACCGAAATCACTGATAAGTTGAGACAAGAAATAAACAAAGTAAGCTACAAGAAACAAACAAAATGAGCTTCATAAAATTTTAAATGTTTTTTGTGCTTAAAAAATTAACAGTTTTTGTATACATGTGAAACCCATAAACAATAGGTTGTTAACCGTTATATTGACGAAGGGACAGCAGAGCTTGTTCCTGGTGTGTTGTTTATTGATGAGGTTGTTACATCTTCTTTTTTTTTTTGAGATATCTTCACTGCTAGTTGTCTTTTGTCTCAAATAGAAATAAATAATTTGGACAGGTACATATGTTGGATATGGAGTGCTTTTCTTATCTGAATCGTGCCTTGGAGAGTTCGTTATCTCCCATTGTGATTTTTGCCACTAATAGAGGAATCTGTAACGTTAGGTACATCTTTTTTTTTCTTTGACAAAATCTTTCTAAATGAAATGCATTGTTTTCAAAGTAATTTCTGCTCCAGTGTCTTCCTTTTCGGTGGAAAAAACATTATATGGTTGTATCAAGTGAATAGTGGTGGCCACATTGAATCTTAAAAATCATTTTATTGCAGAGGAACTGATATGGCCAGCCCTCATGGTATACCTGTTGACTTATTAGACCGATTGACGATTATTAGAACAGAAACTTATGGCCCAGCAGAGATGATACAGGTTTTAATCCACTGCTTTACACTCCCTCTGCGCCCAAACCTTTCTTTCTTACGGATTACCATTTTGTTTTTCCCACTCCCCTTGTCTTTGTCCCATTCTATATATTTCATATTTGCGCGATTCAAAATCATTCCTATTTGATCGATACTTTAACACATTCAATATCAATCAACACAATGCAAGTTTTCAAGTAATATATGTGTTTCACATCTTCATATAATACTTGTAACATGTATTTCACTGTACTTTGCTTTTCCATGAGGCTTGGCAGATTTTAGCTATCCGTGCTCAAGTCGAGGAACTGGGTATAGATGAAGAAAGTCTGGCTTACCTTGGCGAGATTGGGCAGCAAGCATCTTTAAGGTTTGCTTTTTCTCTTCTTTTTTAATGGGATAAAGATACACATGGAAAATCAAAATCTTTTAAAAGGGTTACTATTCATTCTTAGGCATGCTGTTCAGCTTTTATCACCTGCCAGTATTGTTGCGAAAATGAATGGCCGCGACAAAATTTGCAAGGTACTTCAGCACTCTCCGTTTTACAATAATGTCTTTTTTTATATAAAATTAAAAGAGCATTTAATTCTGTTTCCCACTTTTGCCCTTACTCTTTACACTTGTATTTGCATCACCAGATTCAGTTGTTGCTTTCAAACCTTTCCCATTCGTATTGATTCGTGATTTTTTACACACCCATTCGACATTTTTGAAAATTTGGGGGAATGTGTGATTGGGTTTCTCACGAGTTAACTTTGAACAAAATTCTCAGGCGGATCTTGAAGAAGTGAACTCCCTTTATCTGAATGCCAAGTCTTCAGCAAGGCTTCTTCAGGAGCAACAGGACAGATACATTTCATAAAAGCCCCTCTGATTCCCCATTCCCAATCCAATCTGAATCTTCCTATGCCCTTCAAATCCTCAATGTGCTTCGTTATGATTTTCTTCTCCTTGCTCCAGATTTTCTGGGTTAGGATTAGTTTTCGAAAGATTCACCAAATTCAGGTTTTGCAAGTCCTGGAGAATTAGTACACGAAAGATTCACCGAATTCGTCTAAGAATCCTGTCATTAGCCTTGTATGAGAATAACATTATCATGTAGTTTTAGCGTTTTGGATAATCTTTTTAAACTGTATTAATTCTGGAAATGCTAAAGCACATTATTTTAGGCCTTGCTTGTTTGCTTTTTTCACTCAGTTTATATAGAGGAGAATATGAATTATTCATTTCTTTCTCTAAAGAGAACAGAAGCTTCTTTTTTAGGACAACTTTAAAAAAAATTGAGGAAACATAAACTTCTTTTGACAAGTTTTCTTTATTGGATAATAATCAACAGCAGACATTTTCAAACTAGAGGTCCATTCCGGCTGCCCTTCTGAGTGGTCACCACTGATAACAAGTAAACCCCAAACGCCAAAACCAAAACGATCAGAAACCCAATCAGAACCGCTGCCACTCCACCATCTCCGGCGCCCTGTGCCGCCACCGGCATCGACTGCACTGCCGGAAACTGTGCGGCAGCTTTAGCATAGTTGAGTTGGTGGCCGCCGCTGCCGCCGACAGGGTTGAAAAATGCATACGCTTCCGGCGAGGCGGCGGCGGCAGAAGGGATCTCGGAATCAAGGCCGTGCGGAGGCCGACCTTCTTGAGCTCTGGCAATGGCGTTTGATAAAACCAGCAGAGAAAACATGAATATCACAGAATTGGTCATTTTGATTNGGGGGGGGGGGGGGGGGGGAGATATAAGGCCGCGGCCGCGGCCGCGGCCGCGGCGGTTGCTCCGGACTTAAATTTTGAACCACAAAAACCATATGAGTATATAATGCATGCCACTTCCATTTATTTTGTCACGTAGAGAAGATGATCACATTCACAGTTGCTATTAATTTTACTCCCTACATCCCAATTTTCCTTACAATTTTATACTGTCTTTCTCTCTATAATTTTTGTTTATTTGTATATTTTCATTGATTATTTGATAAAATAAAACATTTCTTTATAGATGTACCAATTTGTAAATAATTAAAATTATTTCAAAAATTGTGAGACTTTACTTCGCAATTTTTAATTTGTAATAAAAAATGGGACGAAGGGAGTAATATATATGGGCGCTCCTTTATGAAAAGGGTCACACTAAAATACCCCGTAGTAACACCAAAATTTAGATTATGGATGACGATATAATTGTTTGCTCACACACTAAAATAACACCAATTTTAAGGTTATGGATGATAATATAATTGTTTGTTCACAAACGATTAAGTTTTGTGTTCGTACAAATTAACAAACGATTATCATGCATAGTGTCAAAGTTGGTGTTATTCTACCACTTTTTGTATGTCAATATGGCATTGGCCGCGGAACAAGATATAAATCTCATTAGAGGCAAATATGTTACTCCTATTGGTTCAATGAAAGTTTTAATTACTTGTCGTTTTTCGTCTCTAAAAAGTCATTTCGATGATGTTTGGATACTCAAATCCTTTATATAGTTTTAAAAAAAGTTGGTATTTACAAGCTAAAACTATGTTCTCATATAATAAAGCTTTGTGTGAATTTTGAAAAAAAACATGTTCATGTGGTTGAAGTTCACATCCTTCTTCTAAAAGGGTGTATCTCGATCCTTAGTTTTTTCAATTTGTGGAAAATTATTGAACCAAATCAAATACTCCAACTAAATTAAGGATTTAATTGTCTTTTTCTTATCAATAATTGTAATTTTCAAACAAACTTTAGTTAACGATTTTGAACTAATGCTTTGGTGCCCCTTCTATCTCATATCTTAGTTATTTGTGTTTTTAACAAAAATTAAAGAGAATGTAGAATCTTGTGGTTGAGATTGATGTAGTTCAAAGAAGGATACTCCATCCTAATATGAACCATACGACATGTTCTTTACGATGAATAAAATGTTATTTTGACACGCATATAATATGAAACTTTAAATATAGGATGGAGCTAGTAGAATATATCATGACAACTTAGCAAAGTCACAGATTTGACACTTCATCCCAATAGGGCCATAGTTAAGAGAAAATATTGCATTAAAATTTTTTGATATATATTCTGGATTAAAATGAAATTTCTTACTACTTTCTTTTTCACCAAATAAAGGATCACACGGTATAAGTTGCTCTTTGCCCCTCAAGGAGGCTAGAAATGATGCAATCCCTAATTGAAAAATGCTGGTTTTAGCCCCTGCAAAAAGGGCTAGAAACGGTAGTGACGACAATATCACCTCAATTACATACACATGAAATCTTTATGAACCATATGACTGTGTTCTTTCAAGGAAAACAAATTCAAAATTTTGGAATCTTTCTTATCTATTCAAAATTGTTCACATTCTTACTAAAAACCCCAAAAATCTAAACATTTCCAAAAAAAACATTCAATAGCCACAACTTCATTCGATTTCATCAGCTAATACCAAACACAAAACAAAGAGCCACTCCAGTTGAAACTACAGTGAGAGACAACACAGCAATTTAGTTCAACAAAGAATACAGCTTAAGTATTTTGATGCCTTAGTTTGTAAGAAGCCATTGCAGAGTTATGGAGATGAGCTAAACAACTCATTTTGCAAATGGTGGGTGCAAATGCTCCATTCCTTTATTTGAAGATTGACATGATTAAATTGAAATGAATCAAAACAAAACACAAACAGAAAATACCTGCAGTTTAAAGAAAGTGATTATACTACTACTAAACACTACACATATGGGGCAATTGCAGAAATGAATCATAGTGACAAATTAGTTTTATGGAGCAATTGCAGAAATATATCATAGTGACGAAGTAGTATCAGTATCGGAATGCTCCGTATAAAGCAACCCTTTCAAAAGAAGTTAATGAACTACTCCATAAAGATCAATAGGCTTAATTAAGTTCAACATTGCAAGTACCCATTGCACCATATCATATGTAGACAATAGTCCAAAGGGACCATTTGGCTCACCAAGAAATGGGGATCTCATAAAAATCATTCCCTAAATCCCAGTAAATAATGAACCTCGCTACTAATAGAAACCCTATACATGAGATTTAACCAAAGGGGCAGACAATTTGATTAAGAAAAAAGCATTTCCATATGTTAATTATGATAGATCATGGGATTGTAATCTTGAATGGATTGATCATAAAGAAAATCATCAACCTATGAAGGAATGGATCAGAAGGCAGCTTTATAATAGAACACTTCAATGATACACAATAAAAATCAAATGCAAGCAGTGAAAATGAAGAGGGCAGATTGATCCAAAATAAGAAATTTGAAGACAGTCTACCCATACATTCATTGTAAATCAAAATTATCCATGGACGAAGAAACTAAAATGCTCAAAAAACATGATGAAGATGACAAAAGGAAACATAATTACTAGTATTTCAAGAAGATTTAGAGTTCAAAAACTCCCAATATGGATGGAAAGTGCTCATTTCCTTACCCTATTCTGATGCTCAGGCTTCAGGAACCTCCACTTCCCCATCATCAATCTCCTGCTGCAGATCCTTTGGGTCCTTTCCGTCTACAGTGCACCCAACCGATACACAGGTCCCTAGGATCTCCTTAACAGTGCCGCGCAAGTCCTTGGCCATGGAGCGCGGGCGCATGATCTTCGCGATCTCGATCACGTCGTCGAGCGATATGTTTCCGTTGTGCTTGATGTTCTTCGTCTTCTTCCGGTCACGCTCGGGCTCCTTGAGAGCCTTGATGACTAGCGCGGCGGCGGAGGGGACGACGGAAACCTTCGCCTGACGATTCTGGACCGTCAATTTGACGGTCACGCGGAGGCCCTTCCAGTCCTTGGCAGTCTCCTTGGCGATGTCCTCGCCGATCTTCTTCGGAGAGAGACCGAGCGGGCCGATCTTCGGGGCGAGTGAACTCGCCGCGCCGACTTCGCCGCCGGTGACTCGGACGAAAACCTCGACGACCTGAGACGGATCGAACTTCGGCGGCATTTTCACAGAACGATGAGAGCAGAGACGGAGATCGTCGGTAGGGTTTCGTCTGCTTTGTATATAGAGAGGCGAAACGAGGAAATGGTGATTTTTATGAGCTAGGGTTTTTGGTGCGAAATGACTGATTAATCCTTATTGGGCTTTGGATCTGTTTAGGTCATTTATATTTTGGTCCATTATGTGTAGATCGTCTTTTCTATCATGGGCTTATTACAGACCCTGTTGCAAGCACTTGCTTCTAGGTCGCATTGATTCCCTGTGGGCCCATTTAAGTTTTAAAACAGTCGTTTCAGGCCCATGAGCATGGACCAGGGTTGTTTGAGAATAATAGTTTTAATTAGTATTAGCGTCTAATGGTATAGATTGATTTTAAAAACACTAAACGTCATACCCTGTCATGGGATAATTTTTTCAAAAATTTACTCCCACGCCCTAAATTAAATTGTCTATTTAATATTTATATGGTCAAATTTCATTCACTTTTTTTCCCTATTATCTTAGTCGTTTGATAAAATAATATAGTTATGTCACTACTAGTTATGTTGATCTTTTGATGTAGTTTTTAAAGATATATATTTTTTATTTTTTTAATTCTACACTATTTTTCATATAAAATAATTTGAAAATAACTTTAATCAAATATCATAAATCGAAATAAGCGATTTAAATTGGGACGGAGGTAATAATTCTAACTTCTAATGTTGTTATCATCTTATCAAACTATGTCTTTGTGGGTACTATTTGACCTAACAAAGGTGTACATAGGTCCAAAAGTGCTCCAAAGTTTAATTGATTAAATAATACGTTCATACTCCGTAATATTATAAATTCACATAAATGCATTAAAAATTGGTATTTCAAATCTACATACTTTAAATTCGCATTTCAAATTCATTTTTTAAAAAAAAGAAATGAGCATTTCACATTATTTTATTTAGGGGAAGAGGTTTTTGAGAGGTGTTTTTACTCTCAATAATGGGTTTTATTAGGGATTTAGAAATTAAAAAAAAATCTTTTGCTATAATTATGTGTTAGTACCAAGGTTTCAACACATGGAGTGGTTTGCATTAACTAAATAGAAAGCTATTGATCATAGACAATGAACCAAATAAATGGAGAAGGTAAATGAAGAAAAAGTACATACAAGCGTAGATTTCATATGTTCACACAAATAAAGAAAATCGGTCAACATAGGTGACTGACTTC